AGCTCGGGGCAGGGGAAAGCCGGTTTCTCGCAGCCGGGGGCCGGCAGCAGCTCTCGTGCATCATGGAAAGTTACCTGCGACCTCCAAAACTCTTCTGTCAGGCTGTGGCTTTGTTTTTCTTTTGCGGTCTCGTCACCCCGCCTTCACTTGCGCTGAGGAAGGAGGAACCGAGATGACATCTTGGGGCGGGTGACACAGAGGGTGCTACGCCCCAGGGAGGTCGGGGGGACAGGGAACCTTTCTCCGTTTTGTTTTTTTTTTTTTTTTTTTCTTTGCTTCACCTTTGGGGGGGCAAGGGGGGGGGCTGAGCTAGAGCAGCCTTTTCCTCCCTCTTCATCTTCCTCCCTGCTCGGACGTGGCTCCCCACATCGCCTGTGTTTCGGCAAAGCCTTGGAGGGAACAGGTCTCACATCTGAAAGCACTTCGGGTGCATCCCGAGGGGCAGCGCTTTGAAGAAAGCCGGAAACCTCCCGCAAGCGAGTGGGCTGGATCTGACTTTGTACCTCACAGATGTGGACAAGAAAACGAAGACCTTTTCCCTGCGTGGGCTTTGCCATCGCAGCGATTCGCTGGCTGGCAGCACGGGGGTCCAAAACCCCCAGCGAGGGAGGGAGCGGGCAGCCACGCAGGCTCCCCCCACCTCTCTCTCGGGTGTCAGGACTCAAATACCCTTAAAGAAGGAAATACATGTTCCTGCTCCTTCTCTTCCAGGGTGGTCCAGTGGAAATTCTGCCTTTTCTCTACCTTGGTAGTGCCTATCACGCTTCCAAGTGCGAGTTTCTCGCCAACCTGCACATCACGGCCCTGCTCAACGTCTCCAGGAAAAGCTCAGAGTCCTTCAAGGACCAGTATTGCTACAAGTGGATCCCGGTGGAGGACAGTCACACAGCAGACATCAGCTCACACTTCCAGGAAGCCATCGACTTCATCGGTAGGTCCAAATCAACACATTTCCAGATCTTCATGTATTTCAAATTCATTTATTTTAAAATACCTATTGGTGGGATGGACTCCTTATTTTCTGTGTGTTCCCAGATGTCACAGCAGAAGTTTAAGCTCCTTCCCTTCCTCAGCATCTCTCCTGGCAGAGGGATTTTGGTGGAAGGGGGACATTCAGAGCAAGGCCTTTGCCCTTTTCTCCAGCTCTCCAGGCTGGGAGGCCGAGGAAGGCAAATGCCTCCTCTTGCCTGCTGTCAGGCAGACGAGGCGAGTGAGCTAGGCAGCTTTCTTTTCTCTTCAAAGCAAGCATAGGTGTAACTTCAGCACGATGGGAAGCAAAGAAGAGTGGTTGAACCACACCGAAGTCTATTGATTTTTGTAAAGGAAAAATCCATGTTGGCTCCTTGGACTTGCATGCCAGACCTTGTAAAAGCCAGGCAAAGCAGGGTCAGCTTACTGCCTTGCTGTGCTGGGATATCTCAAAGCCAGGTCTTAGAAATGCAGGATCTCCCCTTATCACAGGGCTGCTTCCGTTTCTCCTTTTGATCACGTTGGTGTTTCACCCATTAATCAAGTACCCCAATGCAAAAAAAAGAGGAGGCTTTCTGAAAGTGTGGGGCCATCCCCTCCCAAGTCCTCCTGCGTTAGGCTGGGTAGGCAAGCGGCACGCCGGCCGTGCCAGCGACTGCAAGGGAGAGGCTCGTCCCCGAGAGGCACAGGGTGCTTTAGTGGGGTGGAGCAGCCTCAGCCTGGGTGGAGAAGGTGTTGAAATCGGTGCTGTTGCTCTCCAGGAACATTCGAGAGAGAAACAGAGTAAAACCTGAGTTCCAGACTGGCTGGACTCCTTGCTCAGATGAGTTTGAGTCCTTCAACAGTGCGGGCAGAATGACAAAAACCTGTTCTGAGGGTGCCCTCTGAGCCCTTCCCCACTTGCTGAGGGACTTCTCCACCTTTCAGGGAAATGCTAGTTCGCAGCACTCTTCTGTCCCATCCCCAACGCCTTCTGATAGTTGTTGAGTCACTTGGAAATTTCCCAGGTTTTGAGCATGACTTCAGTTTTCACTTTCTTTTAAAACTGGGCGTGTGGTGTAGATGCTGGGGATGACTCAAATCCCCATCTTCCTTATTTTGCGCGGTAGTTAAATATAACCGGTCGTGGTGGCACCCGTCCCTGGGCAGACAATCGAAGACAGGCAAATGATAACTTGCTCGGCTCTGCATAGTTTCGCTGAGCACTGCACTCAGCACAGTTATCCATAAAATGAACATATTGCTGAAGGCAATAGAGCAGAGAACGTCTATTTTTGAACTGTATTTTTATGTGGAAAGGGCTTATTTTAAGCACATTCTTTTTAATCTAATAACAATCATTGTGTTGTGTGAGTAACCACAGTGGCTCCTGTTGTGTAAAATGGGTGCTTTGCATAAGCCTTTTATATCCTGACTTAAGTCCAAGCATCCTTTAACTAGGCTGTAATTAGCAACTGCCTACCAGTCCTTGTGTGCTTTGTGGTGAGACCCCGGGGAGTGAGCTCAGCCTCTCCACCCAAGGGCACCAACAAGGGCTCAGCTCCTGGAACCGCCGTCGTGTTTTTCTAGCAGAGCTGATGAGAGGAAGGCAGCCCCGCAGTTGTCACCTTTGAAAGACCTGGTGATGGAAGGGTTGGCCAGGCTGGGCTTGGGTCAGCCCTTCGACCGCAGGCAGAGGAATGCAGGTACTGCAAACACGAGCATTGCCCAGATACCTGATCTGTGTCTTGCAACGCTCTGCTGAGTGAATTGTTCCAAAAGAGAAATAGGCACATGGCAAGCAGACAGGGAAGGACTTTCATAAAAAACACAGAAAGAGCCAAATCGGCATCCACAGATCCTGAACCACGCGTTACCTGGAACTCAGCTTCACCACAGGCTGGGTTTTGTCCCCCTTCTCTTTTAATCTCAGCGTTACCCTTCGTACCCAACAGAAGAGTGAGCCTTTCCTTGCTGGTGGGGTGGCTGCATGTCACAGTGTCCTCTCCATCCTCAATGACAAGTGACATTCGCAATGATTTTTTTCCCCTCCTAGACTATGTCAGGCGAACAGGGGGCAAGATCCTGGTGCACTGCGAAGCGGGGATTTCGCGCTCCCCCACCATCTGCATGGCGTATCTCATGAAGACGAAAAAGCTCCGCCTGGAGGAAGCCTTCGATTACATCAAGCAGCGCCGGAGCCTGATCTCACCAAACTTTGGTTTCATGGGCCAGTTGCTACAGTACGAGTCGGAGATCTTGTCTTCCACTCCCAGCCCCCCCGTTGCCTCATGCAAAAGAGAAGTTGCGTCTTTCTTTGCAGAAGAACTGACGTTAGGCAAAAACTTTGAAGGCTCGTGTTTTGCCTTTCCTACCTCAGTGCTGAGTTCTGTGCCCATCCACTCTCCCGTCCACCAGCTGAAACTCAGCCCGATGACAGCATCTTCGTCCTGCTGCATGCCCT